TTTCAATCAACCCTTTTTTGATATCTCTAACCCTAAAGTTTTCTAGGACTTGAAGTTCTATTTCTACAAATTCCCCTTGGGCAATATTTTCTTGGTTGGTTCTTTAAATCCTATTTTTTTGTCCAAGCCCATGTGAACAAGGTCTTTGGTCACTTTCATGATATTTTCAGCCTAAAAGCCTTCATTTAGGGCTAAGATGATGGCCTATGTTTTATCTGTGTAGCTCACCATCACATCTCCCTAGACAATCCAAAGTCTTGTGTTACTGCCATTGATTCTGCCTCTCAACCAAAGGAAATCTGCATTGCTTCACTTAATTTTTTAATTTCAGGATGCTTTAGTTTCTTCATTGGTAGTGGGGATAGTAAAAATCCCTAAAATAAAGTAGTAGAAGTAAGGGTCTTATGTTCATGTCTAGCATATAATAAGCACTTAACAACTGTTAGCTCTCATTATTATTATTCTCACAGTGTTCCTTGAGATATAAGGAATAACACTCTGTCTTAAATTCTTTTTTATTAATGTGGATATAAATGAATTTTTCTTAATATGAGGGCAAATAAAATGAAATCTAGGATGAACCCAGGTTAACCATCAAAGGCTTAGTAGGTGCAAGGCTATGGGTTAATTTTTTTCTTTATAAAGTAAACTGGAAAATTTAAAGTAAAATTGAATTTTTGAAAAGCACTATTATATACCATGCAACTTTTCAGCAGTATCTGTTTTATATTTTTCTCAGAAAGAGGGGTAGACATGGAATCGAAATTCTGAGTAACAGAGCCCCAAAGAAAAGAGGCAAACCAAGAAGAAATAAATACATAAATAAATTTTACTAACTAAACATCTAAATTCTCATGCTTTATTCTATGCTTTTGTTAATAGACCTGTTTCTCTAATTACTTTCTGTAGCTACTAACTGTTGAGAAATATATCAGATTTAGTCAGCTTCTAAAACGTGACAGGGAGAGAAATATGATATCTCAAACAAGCAACATGGTGATGAATCCACAGCCAAAACCCAGGACCCAAGGGCCACTGAAGTGCTGCCTCTGATGAACTGGTAACTTTTGAGGCTGGAAATAGTTGTAGCCATAAAACACTGTGTAACTCACAAGTGATAAAGATGTCCTGCCTCATGTCCCACCACCCTGAGGTAGTCCTGTAAACTTGGGTCTGTCACTTCGCCTCTTCTGTCTCAGTTTACTCCTCTGTAAAGTGAAATGATAATAAAGAGACTGACTGCCCATCAAGGCCCATCCCAGCTTCATATACAGCTTCACATTCTGTAGATCTACCACTGGACTTGGTAAGGACCATGGACAGCTCTCTCATTGGCAACAAGAACAGGGAGCCCAAGGAGTGTCATTAATGGATTCCCCAAATCTTTAATGGATTCCTAACATCGCTGGCTGGAAGGGCAGGAGCAGCAGCTAATCATTCTCAAGTTCATCTTATGACTCCTTTCTGTGGAGTCAGACTCTGAGTTCCCCGCGCCCCCACACACACACCCTCTCATGTAGAGGTAGACCCTCCTTCCGCCCTGAGCAATTTTCAGAAGACAGTAGAACTCACCTGAGCTTCCCTTCCAGGCAGGAGAAAGCTGCTGTGAAGGAGAAGTGAGGCAAACAAATAAGACAGACCCCATCTCCTGCTAGGCTGCCCCATTGTGATCCTGTTCACGGCTCAGCTAGTCCCTGAATCATACCTACAAATTTGTCAAATTATAGACAAATTACAATCTAAAACTCTTTGTCTGGAAAAACAAATTTGGCTAGAAATTTCTCACTAGAACAGCAGAAGCAATATATTTTACCACCTGTCAGTAGTGAGTGGTGGCCAACTTGCTTGGGAATGAAGACATTGGATGGTCCTTCTGGAAGGTTAGCACCCTTGCAGCAGCTACCTCATTGCCCTATGTGGTTCTTTTGGGAAGAGTATCTCTCAAAAATACCCAGTTCAACTCCCATCCACAGGGCCCCCCCACCAGGCCAAGGGAATCATGCTTCTTCATTGATTCCCTTGCTGACTCCTGGCTCAGCCCTTCTCCCACCACAGAACACACTAGCCATTATGTTTACCTTTATATTGGTAAGGATGAGTCTGATAATCTCTCCTTCCCTGATGTCCCAAGGACTGAGGTCCATCTCCTGTGTGGATCCTTTAACATATTTTGTCTTGGCTTGAGGGGAGGTGTCTGACAATTCTCTTGAAAGAAATGTAGCCTCTTTCACAAGACCTGGAGGTGGGGAAGGCCTGTTCCAGCAGAACCAACCTCACTATCGCTTACCATGGTCTGTGCAACAGGGCTAGACTAACACTTGCTTTAGGATCTCGGCATACTGGGCTCCTATTCTATTGTTCTTACACACTGCATACTCTCTGATACTCTGAGGCAACCAAAAGATCACCTAAACATCCTGATATACTATTTTGCCCATAAAGATTAGTTCCAACTACTAAGAAAATTATTTTTAAATGACTTTTAATTTTTCTGACCACATTATTATTTGTAAGAGTTAATGTAGGGTTTTAGTATAGCATTAGTAGTTGTTTATTAAGATGGTAGACCCAAGAATAATTAAGTCCTACTTTGTCCAGACATTTTACTTTCTGGATCTAAGATAATAAAGTGCTGGAGCTCGCTAACACACAAATAACCCCTGTAAAGTTTAGCAGTACTTTGTTCATATGATCTGGTCTCCAGACCAAATTTCTGAGAACTGAGCTGGAGTACAACGAGTTTCTGTTTGTTTGCCATGAAGTTGTTTGTCCTCAACAGGCTTTGATGAAATAGAAGTCTAACTCACCAACTAGTCCCAGAAATATTTAAACAGAGAGAAACTGAGAGCAAGAGAATGCACGTTTGCCAATAAGGGCTACTGTTGGACAGACTCAAGTTATAATTAGAGCTGGGATTTCAATTTCATCACTGCATGGGAAAGGAGAGCAAGGAGAAAGCCAAGAGAACACAAGTGTCTTCTTGTGGGACAGTGGGCCTTGATTCTTGCAGGAAAAGAGAGAGAGAGAATCAGAACTGGCCTTTTCCCACTTCAGCATCATTAGTGACCGGAGAGGACTGTTTCACCAAGACCCACACCTGTGTGGATAACCTTTTATACCTGGCAACTAATAACTACCATATTGGATACTGTAATGTTCTTTGAAACCAATCCATCTAGAGCAATTTTTAAAGAAAGCTTCATCTACTTTCAGGTCTACATTTTTCCCCATTCACTTGTTCCTCTTAGGTCTTCAAAATCATAGCCATGCTTATGATTCTCTTATACAGGTTTAGTAATCTCTCCTCAGTGTACCTCCCTAATACTTTGATAAACTTCCTAAGGATAACATTTTTTAAGGTAGAACATGTTGATCTTGGGGTGTGATTTCTCTTGGGATGAAAATCATTAATAAATGTCTCATGGGGCCATTTTTGTTTTGGTGAGATTTTTTTTTTTTAAACTTGAGTAATTGTTATGGCAAAGTCCCAGAATATGAGATAACATCATCAACCTGAAGGCTTTTTGTGTTTGGTTGAAGGAAATATTCCTTTCCAGCCTCATCTGGTCATAATCTGCTTAAAGGAAAGATTAGTCATGATTGACTTTCTGGAGGGGATTTTCTCCTGGGACCTGCATTACCCAAATTAACACCCCAGGATTCCAGCCATGGGAACAGAATGATGGGCACAGACCTTTAGCAAGAAGGCATCCCTGACTTCCAACATTCAGACACATTTGAATGATGGCAGACCTGAACATGAACGTGGACATGATTAATCTTTTTGGACAAAATCAACAATTAAATCAGATACTACATTTTTCTGAAACATCTCTTGAGTCAACCTTTTGTGCCATCTCTAACCCTACAACTTTTGGAACTTGGGCATCAATTTTATAAGCTCCCCTTCATTGAGCCATTGGGCTAGTTTTTAAGTCCTTGCTCATTTTTGAGACCATTTTTGATACAAAAATCTTTCAAGTTTAGGTTTACAGCAGCTATCTGACCTATAGAGTTGAGCATGAAGTCCCCCTTGAGACCTAACATTACTGCCTTTTATCTCTGCCTCTTTATCAAAGCAAATCTTCAATGCTTTTAGTTAATTTGCATTTATATCTGTGCATATCAATTTCCTCATCTGTAAGATAAGGATAGTATTAGTCCCTATTTGACTAAGTCCCTAATTTAACTAAATTTGCTCTAAGGATAAAGTAAATTAATAGAGGCAAGGTCTAAGGATAGTTCCTGGCACACAACAAGGACTCAAAAGATGTACAACTTCATTACTCTTCTCACCTTGCTGCTCTGTTGCTTGGGAAACACATAAAACACGGTTTCAGTTTTATTTGGAATGAGTTGGAGTAAAAGAAATATAGGATATATCTCAGTTAAACATCATCTTTGTAACTAACTAAGTCTAGACCAGGGTTCTGCAAACTATGGCACACAGGGCAAATTCAACCCATGAATTGTTTTTTTTTTGCGGTACGCGGGCCTCTCACTGTTGCGGCCTCTTCCGTTGCAGAACACAGGCTCCGGACGCGCAGGCTCAGCAGCCATGGCTCACGGGCCCAGCCACTCCGCGGCACGTGGGATCTTCCCGGACCGGGGCACGAACCCGTGTCCCCTGCATCGGCAGGCAGACTCTCAACCACTGTGCCACCAGGGAAGCCCCATGAATTGTTTTGTAAATAATTTTTTATCAGAACGCAGCCACAGTCACATCTTTCCATTTATGAATTGTCTATGGATGCTTTTACAATAAAACAGTAGAGTTGAGTAGTCACAAAGGAGATTGTGGTCCACAATACCTTAAATATTTACTATCTGGCCCTTTACAGAAAAAGTTCCTAACTCCTGATCTAAGCATTTGATATTTTTCTTGAAGTACTAGGTAAACTCCTAAAAAGTGACATTTGAATAGTATTTTTGCAAAACACTACTATTTGCAATGCAATGCTATAAAAAGAGACATTTATGTTACTTTTCTACTTCCTCAGGGAGAAAAACAATCAACACTGGGCCTTTGAAAAGAGGCAGAAAAAAAGGTAAAAATAAGTGATTAATGCAGTTTTAATAATTAAACATCTAAATTTTTATTTTATAATCCATATTTTTAGTGATCAATAAATTTTCTTAATTGGCTTACAGAGCCGATAGCAAACGTTAGGATAAGTCCTTGGTCTTGGTCAATTTCGACCACATGACAGGATGGTGATAACACGCACTCCATTGATTAGTCAGAAGATCTGTGAGAGACCCCCAGGCCTCCTTGGGCCTGTGCAGGGCTGCTCTCACTGCACTGATAACTTTTGAGGAGGGAAATACAAAGAAAAATATATAAAAGGTATGACTCATGTGATATTTCTCTCACCTTTGTCTTGCCCACATAGAGAGCCATAGGCTCCCCCCCTAGGGGGACTCTGGGTGGTAACACAAGACCTATGTCCTAATTCCTAAAATTCCTTTGACTGTGTAACTTTGGCTTGTCCACTGTTCTTTCTTGCTTCAATTTCCTCCTCTGTGAATTGGTGGCTGGCAGGTGAATTAGACTGAATGGCCCCCTACACCCACCCCAGCTCTAATAGAACTGACGCTGGAAGGGCTCTTGACAGCCTACTCTCCCCATCCAGAGAGAAGCCCCCAGACCTGTCTTTAAAGGATCCTCCTCAATGTTGGCCAGAAGGGCAAGAGAAGGTGCTCCTGCTACTGACATTCTTTCTAAGACTTTCAACACCTGCTTCAGAGGAATTAGATGCCAGCACCCTCACCCAAGGATGTACAGAAACCCTCTCCCTGAGCAATGTGCAGTTTCTTCTAGAGCAAACTACCTTCTAGCCACAGAGAAAGCTCACATGAGAGAGAAGTGAAACAGAGAGCAAGGTGGGAAGACAGACACTGCCCCTGCTGGGGGTCCCATTGCAATCCTCCTTTTTTCCCCAGGTGAGCCCTCAAATGGGGAGAAAAAATTAAAAGTTGAGGGCTTTTTTCTCCATCTGCATAACTTCAAAGCAATAATATGACTATAAATCTTCCTTCAAATCAGCAGGAGGAAAATTATCATGCAATAGGTAGTTGGGACCAGCAAGCTTGGGAATCAGATCCTTCCACAAGAGGTTTGTATGTAGGATTTTAGAGGATGGTGGTGGAGGGTGACGTTATCTTTATGTACCTAACCTGCCTAGAAATGTACCTAATTCATGGGGGAAATCCTTCCATTAAATTTTAAGTTATAAAGAAGGATCTCAAGATGGGTGAGGAGAGACGGTACACAATTTTAGAGCAAGGTGGAATGAAGAAACCAATGCTTCCTTGCAGGTCCAAGAATTCCCAGAGAAACAAATATGGATTTTCAGCTTCCTGAACTTCCTGTGACTTGTGGTGAGGCAAAGGGGATTTTATACAAGGAGAAAATGGAAAAAGGTGGGCTTCATGGTCTTCTAAATTTTTTAACTGGAAAACTCCCATGTGAATAATATATTATACAGGGGGTAGACACCCGTATTAGGGGTCTCTAGGTTTGGTGCCTCACTAGGAGGACTGAAAGGACTCAGCATATAGTTGAACTCATGGCTGTGATTTATTAAATTGAAAGGATACAAAGCAAAATCAGCAAAGGGAAAAGGCCCATGGTACAGGTGTCAGTTTCCAAGAGTCTTCTCCCAGTCGGGTCACCAGGACACACTTAATTCACCAGCAATCAATTGTAACAACACATGTGAAATGTTGTCTGCCAGGGAAGCTGCCCTGAGCCTGAGAGTCCAGGGTTTTTATCAGAGGTTAGTTACATAAGTACCCTCTGCCCAGCACATGCCAAAATTCCAAACTCCCAGACGGAAGGCAGGTGTTCACATAAGCCATACTGTTTGTATAAACAGTTAAGGCACAGTGAGCTACTCTTAAGTTCTGGGAGTGGTGAGACCCCTCCCCAAATCCAAGTTCCCAGATACCAGCCAAGCACCAACCTTGCAAGCAGACTTTCTAAAGAAAGCAGCCTCAGTTCTGTTCTGTTAACTCTTTTCCACACAGCATCCCAGATAGGCTGGAGGAAAGATGGCATTCCCACTCTTTTAAAATTAATAAACATTAGCCTACCAGGCCATCTCCACTTTCCCCCAAGGAAAAGGTCCACAGGTGCCCATCCAGCACCCAATACAGGGGCAAGTGCTTCAATAACAGGATGGAAGATGTACACATTTGAGAAATCCAACAGCAACCTTCACAGCCACATTCCCTTATAACATCTGTATGGCCTTGTGCTAACTGGGAGAAGCACAAAATTTAGACTCAGAAGACCAGGATTCGAGTTTCAGCTGTACCAAGAGTGTCTATTTTGTATGGGCCAAGTTACTAAGTCTCTCTCATCCTGAACTGTCCTCTACAAAATGGAAATAATAATAAAACTTTCCTCACCATATTATTATGAGAAAAAAACAAGATAACAGATAGAAAAGTTTGCAAATTACAACTGTTAAAATACAGTACAAATGTTCATCTACCATAATTGATTCCCTCCTCCCAAAATATGGTTCTTTAGGTACCGAAAAGTATAAATGTTTTCCCAATGATTGTATAGCATATATATAATTTAATTTTTCCCACTTGATAACATTTCTACAATTGCTTTTAACATAAAATATCTATGAGCACAAAATATTATTGCAATAATTGATTGCCATTCACTGGCTGATAAACTTTTGTACAGGACAAGGCAGACATGGCTGTGGTGACAGTTGCCACACTGTCCCGTGTGTGACCTCATCTGCTGCCTCAGAAACTCAGCCTGGCTCTATCCCGGGTCTCAGAGAAGGGAAGGGAAAGAATCTTGCCTATTCTTTAGAGTCATCCGTTTTTTTTCTCTTTTGAATATAGTGAAATATTTTTTTAAAATAAATGTTGGTAGTAATCACTGTCCTTCTCATTGCATGAGGGTCAGAGTATGCACACAGGGCAGGACGTCTGCTCCTGCCCTCGCCTTTCGGACTGCTGTAGAGCCCCAGAGAGGGGACTCAGCTATCCTGCTGCGGATTATGAACCCAAAACGAGTAGCCCAGATTCACGTGGCAGGAGGTCAAGTTCTGGGGTATTCACAGTTGGGGGCACATCCTGGCCACAAAGGGAGCTCAGCTTGTCTTGGTCTCACAGGCACCTCGGAGAAGTGTATACAGGATGCATATGGAAAGTGGTTCACCCTCAGGGAATTTGAAATTGAAGGAAACCATGAAGCATCCAAGAAGTGGAAGATGAGTGTGCGCTGCGGGGGATGGCCCCTGAAAACCTTGATTCAGGTATTCTAGTGACAAAGTGCTACAATCAAGGATTTAGTGCCACAAGTCATCAACTTCCAGCTTTAGCAGAATTTCCAGAAAACCATCATGATGCCCCTTGCCTGGGTCGCAATGCATATATTATCACTAACATTCCATGTGGCTGTTATATTTGCTGGCTTACATTACAGCTTAATCCTCTAAGTGCATAAACTCTTACACTTTAAAATTTTTTAAATTTTTATACAATTTTTAAAGGCTACTTTCCACTTACAGTTATTACAAAATATTGGCTGTATGTTGTACAATACATCCTTGAGCCTATCCTACACCCAATAGTTTATACTTCCACTCCCCCACCTCTATGTTGCCTCTCCGCCCCCCACTGGTAACCACTAGTTTGTTCTCTATGAGTCAGCTTCTTTTATGTTATATTCACTAGTTTGTTATATTTTTTAGATTCCACATATAAGTGATATCATACAATATTTGTCTTTCTCCATCTGACATATTTCACTTAGCATAATGCCCTCCAAGTCCATCCATGTTGCTGCAAATGACAACATTTTGTTCTTTTTTATGGCTGAATAGTATTCAAACTCTTGCATTGTTGAAGGTAGGACAGTAAATTGTGGCCTTGGCACTGCCACTAATAATTGCCACTGGGTAATTTGGTCACAGGAAAGTAAACTAAATTTGGCGTGGGAGGGTCTTAGACTTTTGGAGGGGGCCAATGTTGAAAGTAACAATAATAGAACTATGTATCTGAAAATAATACATCAGAATGAGTGTTTTCTGGATAGCCATCTGAAATTCATTCTTGAAAAATAATATTTTTAAATGAATTTAAAAATATCTCTTTGGGGCTTCCCTGGTGGCACAGTGGTTGAGAGTCCGCCTGCTGATGCAGGGGGCGCGGGTTCCTGCCCCGGTCCGGGAAGATCCCACATGCCGCGGAGCGGCTGGGCACGTGAGACATGCCGCTGAGCCTGCGCGTCCGGAGCCTGTGCTCCGCAACGGGAGAGGCCACAACAGTGAGAGGCCCGTGTACCGCAAAAAATATATATATATATATCTCTTTGGTCCTCATCTCGGCCCCCTGATGTGGACTAAACGGGCCAGGTCTCTGTCACAGATGAACCCATGCCTTCTGACTCTTTCTGTCACATGCCCCAGATGGTCCTTCCTTGTGCCACTCTAATGATGAGCAAATATTTATTGAATACATCTGAAGCCACAGGGACTGTAAGGTGTGGCCCCCAGCCCCTAACCAGGAGGAAGGCTGCACGTTTATAAACATAGGATTGCACAGCTCATAGATGCCATAATGAGATTCTCTGGCGGGAAGAGATGCAGAAGCTTAGGGGAGGGAAGTTCATTTCTGTCTTTGAGGTTGAGGACAGTTTCATGGAACAGTTTGCACTGAGCTGGGTCTTAAAAGAAGAATAGTTCTGACAAGCAAAAATGTCATAATGAGGAATTCTATATAGAAAGGATGGCATGAAAATCCTCCCCATGAGTGTCAAGAAGTTGTGGGTTATAAGACTCAATACATGAGCTGGGCTGATTGTGGAGGTCCTGCGGCCCCAGAAAGGAGGCTGAACCCTTCATTTAATCATGGAGGAATTGTGGGAGGTTTGGGTTAGGGATTGACAAAGTTGAAAGAGTGTTTTAGAGGTATGAATCTGATCAAGGAATGCAAGATGGATTAGAGGGTAGAGTGCTTTAACCCATGGAGACCTCGAATGACCTTTACCACCTTTCTGCCTGATCCACCCCATTCGACCTGCAAGGCCCAGCTCAAACAGCACACTCTCTGCTGAAGTCCTTTAAAATTCACTGAATTTGTTTCCTATTGCTGCTATAAAAAATTCCCACAAACTTAGTGCCTTGAAACCATGTAAATCTATCATCTTACAGTTCTAGAGACCAGAAGTATGAAATCAGTTTCACTGGACTCAAGTCAAGGTGTTGGCAGGGGTGGTTCCTTCTGGAGCCTTCCAGGGAGAATGTGTTCCTCCCCTTTTTCAGCTTCTGGAAGCAGCCTTCATTTCCTGGCTCGTGGCCCCTTCCTCACATCACTCAAACCTCTTCTTCTGTCAACACATCTCCTACTACTCACTCTGACCCTCCTACCCCCTCTTGTATGGACCCTTGCGATTACATTGGCCCTACCCAGATAATCAGAATCATCTTCCATTTCAAGCTCCTTCATTTAATTACATTAGTAAAGTTCCTTTTACCATGTAAGTTGACACATTCATGGGTCGGGGGATTAGAACAAATTCATGGGTCGGGGGGGAGCATTATTTAGCCTACTATACTCACCCATCTCTGGATCCCAAAATACTCCATGAGAGCACAGTTTACACTTTATCATCCTTACCCCACTATATGCCAGGTTTTCCCACTTGTCTCCCCAAAGGCCTGGATACCTTTGTGTGTCCAAGGCCACTGATGGGGCCTGCCAGCTGTCAATCACTCACCAGGTGTGTGCCAATGGAGCTATAGTATGCAAGGTATAAAGATAAAAGCTAGAGGGGTACTGGGAGAATGGAAAGGAAGTGGTGGGTGTAGAAGCGGTTGTAAAGGAAAATCTGGCAAAACTTTCTAAGGAGAGCAAGAGAGAGGATGCAGTTTTTAAAGCTGACTTTAAAGCTGAGTCTGGATAACAGAGAGCACCATGTTACAGACTTGGAGAGGGAGGTTATTTTCCATGAAGACCCCTTGAGTTTGTGTTGATAATGGGACATGAGTGGAAGGTAGTGGAATTACCGATCTCACAGAGTAGAAACAAGGACCCATCACAGCATGAATCTCATTTTTCTTTCAGAGAGAATTTCTACTAGACCCGTCAAGAAAAAGAAAGAAGGTAATTATCACATGACCTTCTGGCCATGTCTCATCTACCCCATTGTTGATTTTCCATCTCTCTGGCTTTATTTTATGGTTTCTAAATTAACCAATTATGTTGAAACTTGATTTTATAATACAGTGCTTTTACACTTGCTACTTCCAAACATTTCAGTGTGTGAGGCCAGGACTTCTTTGAGCATTAAAATATTTGAGATAGAGGTGCAGGGGTAATCCTTAAAAATAGATAATGAGACAGAATTGACCTTGTACATATGTTTTAGAAAAATATGTGAATGGCATACAGAAAGTCCCCAGCATACGAACCTTCAAGTTGCGAGCTTTCAAAAATGCGAACGTGGGCTTCCCTGGTGGTGCAGTGGTTGAGAGTCCGCCTGCCGATGCAGGGGACACGGGTTCGTGTCCCGGTCCGGGAAGATCCCACATGCCGCGGAGCGGCTGGGCCCGTGAGCCATGGCCACTGAGCCTGTGCGTCCGGAGCCTGTGCTCCGCAACGGGAGGGGCCACAACAGTGAGAGGCCCGCGTACCGCAAAAACAAACAAACAAAAATGCGAACGTGCGTTCGCATGTCCAATCACGTAAGTTAGTTCCCATGTCTGGCGTACTTTGTCACGTGCGTGCATCCTCTACAAGTGGTTGTGCTTTTGTGTCCTTCACTGTACAGGACTGTATAGAGTACAGCAGTACAGTGTCTATTTCAAGCTCAGGTTGTCCTAAAGCAAGTGTAAAAGCAGCGATGATGTAGCTGGTACTGCTAAGAAGACCCAGGAATTGAAGGCCCAGAGGAAGGACAGAGATAGACAAGAGGAAGAAGTAACTGAAGAACCGAAGAGATTCACGACGTAGGAAATGGCAAGGGGATTTTCTTTATTTGAGGAGGCACTGTTAGTTTTTGAGGCTCAGGACCCGAATGTAGAACGTTACGTGAGCCTGTGCTCCGCAACGGGAGAGGCCACAACAGTGAGGGGCCCGCGTGCCGCAAAAAAAAAAAATGTTTTCTTTACTTTTTGTGTTTGTTTTTTATGTATTATTTGTGTGAAAAGTATTATAAACCTATTACAGCACAGTACTGTATAGCTAATTGTGTTAGTTGGGTACCTAGGCTAACTTTGCTGGACTTACAAAGGCACTCTCGGAATGGAACTCTTACTATACTGTCTTTTTTTTTTTTTTTTTTTTTTTTGGAGTATAGTTGATTTACAATGTTGTGTTAGTTTCAGGTGTACAGCAAAGTTAATCAGTTATACACATGCATATATCCACTCTTTTTTTTTAGATTCTTTTCCCATATAGGCCATTACAGAGGGCATACTGTCTTAAAATTAGACATAAAAGATGGAGTTGGAGCTGAAAAAGTATGATTTTGAAAGGCACAAAAAAGTACATTTAATGACTATTGCTTTTGCAACACTGATTTTATTTTCATTGGTTTTTCTGGGTTCTAGCTTTAATGAAATAAGAATTGAGCAAAATGGAAACATCTCACGGTCACTCTAGCTAACCTATTATAGACCTAATGTAGAATCCCCCTTTGGAATGGATATATAGCCATATGTCACCTGGTAAAGCAAAAAAACAAAACCTCTCCTTCACATGCACACACACACTTATGCTAAGTCCTTTTTCAAGGGAAATTTTATTTCCTTTATGGAGATGACCCTTCAGAGACTAGAGTGATTGGGAAGCAGATGTGCCCTGTGGGGGAGGTTGCTGACCTGGAAAGTTCTTTCCTTTGTGTAGAGGCCCTTTGGTCCCAACAGAGGGGCTTTGCAGACTGCAGTTCCATCTATGAAGGCAAATTCTCTCTCCTTCAAAGCAGCATGTGAAGTTCATGGACCAGTGGTTTCTATGCTGTGTGGATTTCAGGGAAGGCAGTCAGACAGTTGATGTCTTCCTCTCCAAGACAGGGTGTGAGAGAGAACATGTGAGGTGAAAAAAGGCAATAGAGAAACTTCCACTTTCCTGACCTCCAACAGCAGTGACCTTGGTCATCTCAGTCAAACCAGGAAGTCGAGGTCTTCACAAAGCTGGTTTCTGGGGCTACCAGCTCAACTGACTTTATGCTAAAGACTCAGTAACTAAGCTCTGCATCCACTGGGTTTTCTGAAGAAAGAGATGCTATTTGCTCTGTTCATTAAGACCAAATGTTTCTGCCCAGTCCTAGGGAGTCAAGGGTAATTCAGTCTGGGTTAATCAATTGAGTTGGCCGTCTCCCACCCTTTATCACAGGCGCCCTCTCTCCGTTCCCTCTGGGCTTACAGCTATTAAGGTGTGACCACCTCAGTTCTCAGAGGGTCTCTCCAGAGCATCTCTTCCTTTCCCAGTCCCTTGGCTTCTGCCATTTGTGTCCTCTCAGCACCAAATGGCATAAGAAACTCTGAGCCAGTAGCCTAAAAATAGTGGTCAGCATCCATTAGGATGAGAAAAAGGAAAAGCAGTTACATGGCCCCATGCCAGGGCCACTCAAGCCTATGTGGGGATGTCCCTAACAGGCCATTCCTCAAGCTCTCCTACTGAAAGGGAGCACATGGACAAGATACAGCTTACAGCCTAGAATTTCCTCCCATGTGTGAATTTTGTGTCTCTTCTTCTTATATTGAATTTATAGATGAAAAGAATTTACAAATTGAGGTGTGTTCCAATTCACCTCAGCTCACTGGGCTCAGGGATGATATTCTGTTATGATTTGGAAATAGCAGGACATTTTGCTTTAGCTCATAATATTGTATTATAAGTAGGGGCTCTGCATTCTTGTAAGCAATGGACCTCACAGAAGCACTAAGAATGAGATGAGATATTTTAAAATGACATCAGCAGGACTGGTGATGGGCTGGATGTCTGGGGTGAGGAAAGGGAGGAAACCGTGTTCACTTCCAGGCTCCTGGGTGGATGGTGGGTTGCTTAGTGAGATGAGGGGGGCACTGAAAGAGGAGCAGATTCAAGACAGGAAGTCAAGGACTGTGGTTTGGGGGCAATATGGGTTTTAGACATGATGATAGACATCTAATTGGAGATGATGGAAAGTAGAGTTTGGATGCTCGGGGACTCAAAAAGAGACCAGAGACACAGATCTTAAAGCCTAGGGACAAATGTGGTAGGTGTGGTCACGGGAGTAGTCGTGGCCATCTAGGAGAGTAAAATGAGCAGGGAACATGGGGCAGAGCCCTACAGAATTCCAACTTTCCAAGTGAGGAAGCTTAAAAAAAGAAGCAAAGTGTTAGGAAAAAATCTAAGAGAATGGAGTGTCATGGAACAAAGCATAAAGAGTGTATCTAGAAGGAAGAGGTGGAATGGCACTCCCTGCCACCTCCCCATTTCCTCACCACCCACCAAAATCCCAGCTACCCATCACTGGGTGGGCCAGTCCCCAAGTCTATGCATTGTTTTGTACATAGATTGTCACACAAGGATGTGAATTCCTTCTTCCAGCCCATGGTGTAGAAAGGATAGCTTCATCTAGATGAAGAGCTGCTACCCATTGGATGAAATGTTTCCGCACCACATGGTTCTCTTTCCACTCAGGTGGCCCAGCAGAGGGGCCAGGTGCCCATCCTCTGGCCATTTCTCCAGCACAGACACACGACCCTCATACATAGAAATTGTAGTATATAGGGATTCACATGTTATTGCCACATAGATTATCACCAAAAAGAAAAGGAAAAAATGTAATTCCCCTTGCCCATCAATGGGCTCATTCCTTGAACAATTCTTATTTTGGTCTATAAATTCTGTTGTTTTAATGTGTGTTTGTTACTCCACGATACTTAGATGCAAACACTGTCAAATTTTTAACTTCACTAAATGAAACAAAATCTGGCTAAAGGTCCCACATATTGAGATTGATGAAAAATCCAGCACCAATTAATTTTGTGGCCCCATCCATCTTCCTTATACAGGACAAAGCACCAGGTTTCCACGGGATCAGAAAATTAGGGTAAAGCCTTGGCCTTCAACTCCAGTGGTTGCCATTACCACACTCCCTAGCCATTGAGAGATGGCACCTCCACACCTTACTTGCCAAGCTAAGTCATAGGACAGCTTCCCCTAGGCTCCCAGAGTCAAAGAGCTCTGTCATCCCTGGCATCCACCGGGTTATCTGTGCCCATGGTCTTTCCAACCAGAGGCACTGTCACAGGCTCAGGGGCCCTCTAGGCACAAAATCCATAGAACAGAAACTCATCCCCAGGCCCTTCAACTCATGGAGAACTTATGGCCAAGAAAATGGTATGCAGTGATATCTCAGATGTTTATTCTGTCATATTAAGTTGTCAGTAAATCACTCTTCAATGAGGCAATTTAGATGATGCATGGTAGACAACTAGATAAGACACTGCATTCCTGAGTTAGGTTTTGCCTGCAGAATAATAAATTTCTCAGATTATCTTTAATTGATCCTATTTTGTTGTTGTTACAAGACTTCCTGTGTCAGAATCTCTGTCTTTATAAAGAAAACTTTAAAGGTCTAACACAGCCACTTCCTCCTGAGCTTCACTGCAAACCAGCATGTCTTCTTCTGAAATCTCCACTCAGTATTGTTCCTTACTATTTTGAGGAGAAAGGTTTACAAGTATCACCTTGGTACAAGCAAATGCTGTGTGTTCTACGGTACCAATGTGTCGACTATCTAGGGTCTCACTGATCCCAGTGATGTCTATATTATCTCCCCTTCTAGCCAGAAAACTCAAATGAATGCGAGGTATGCCGTAGAAAGACCACGCTGTTCTCCTGTAATACTTGTTCAAGGTTCTTTCATGAGACATGCCACATCCCACCTAAAGGTGCTGACAGGTTAGTGAGACCTGGCCCCCTCCTGCCCTTCCTTCCTGTGGTGCAGCTCCTCCCACCATGCACACTCAGCCTGCAGTTTTCTCTGGTTGTATGTGTCTTGATTCAGAAGAAGAGTCCTTAAGCATCAGGATCCAGAAATAAGAACAGTGCCGGCGGCAGTAGATTAATGAGAAGAAAACTCTTCAAGTGGTGATTAGGTAAAATAGAGAAGTAACCCCCACCTCCCTCAGATGGTTCCCACACCCATGCACTTGGATGGGGTTATGATGCCATACATTAGCTGCTGGTTTAACACATATACCACCTGCTATGGGAACATCACATAGCTGACAAAGCTGGGACTGTAATGAGCCTTCAGAAGGTGATCACGGCAGTCTATCAAGTCATCTGACCCTGAATCACAGGGTACATGATAAGATCCCTGAATTCTGCGGGTATGAGTCCACTGCTGCATTTCCTTTGTTGTAAAGTGTGTCTTCGGTCAGATGTGATGATCTGTGAGATAACACGTAGATTGATAAGGCATTCTAGAAGCGGTAGAATTTCTGTGGCCGAGGATGATCTCTACCAGGATTATGTCTGTTCCTATGAGGATAGAGCATTGTCCCTCCATAATGGGAGGAGTCTAGTGTAATTCATCTTCTCCTATGTAGGTCCCAGAGAATGTGTCACCGCGGGATTCAGCATAAACCTCTGCAGTTGGGCAATCTGCAGAGGCAGAAAGCCCTACGTTCTTTTGAGCTCATGTAGAGTCCCCACCCCTGCACCGTGGACACTGTAATGCTTGCCCCTTGAGCAAGCACTGGGGTGGCCAAGGAGAGAGGTTAAATGACATCTCTAGGAAGGATCGTTGTATCCAGGTCTCAGATTATTGAGAATTGAGAGCTCCCCAGCACAGAGAACCTGGTAGTGGAGATCTAGGGGCAAATGGAAGATACCTGGCACTCTACTGGTAGATTTCCTTTCCAAGAAGTTTCTGCATCACAGATTCTAGACACAGAGATGACAATGCCAGAAAAAACGGTGCCTATGGCTTATGCTCTGTGGTTATTCAGCAAAGTTGAGAAGAAGGGCTGTTTTCCTGATTTTTACTGAGTTGATGTCTCATTGAGGCCCAAGACTCCAGTACTTAAGGTACCAATTTCCCCTTCTCGTTTCGGGCAGGCAGAATTCATTACCAAACTCACAGTGGCTCAGATGAGAACCTAAGTTTTGAAGTGAATGAGTGTCCTTACGCACCATGGCACCTCACTTAGCCTTCTACACTTATTGATGGGAGGGCTGTCTTTGGCAGTTGAGCCCAAATGGGGCTCTAGTGCAGAGGGGTGTCAGAGAGAAGTTGAATACAGGTGGAAACTACCAGTCATTCCTGAACAGAGGACTTTAACAGCTCTAGAAACAATGGTTGATTCACAGAGAAACTGCCTTTGCTGACCTTATACCCGACCTCTCAGGAACCCATGGAGCTGCATCTTCTGCAAGATAAAGGACCTTCAGGAAAGGTGCCCAGAAAGCCAACCATGTCATCAGGAATCTGACGTCCTGAAGAAGCTGATGCTGCCTAAAGAGAAGTTGGTGAGTTGAAATGTAAACCTAAGCCTCCTCCTTTCTGTTTACACAAGAGAAGAAGCACCATCTTGCAGGGGGCAGGAGGAATGGTGCCCAAGGCAAACTGCTGTCGCTTGCTGTGCTCTGATCACATTACCTGACACCAAAATTCGTATGCCACAGAAAATTCCCATTCTGTGTTTGTTTCAGGGGTCTGCAGGTTGGAGAGTTGTGCATTTATCTGAGCATATGTAAGAGCTCATTCTTTCCAAGCTGCTCTTCACTTAAAATCTCCTCTATCTTTTGCAGAAGTGTGAGTTCCTCCTCTTAAAGGTCTATTGCTCTCCAAAAAGCTCTTTTTTTGCCTCAGAACCATATTATGTAAGTAACAGCAATAAAACCCCAACCTGGCATTTGTTGAATTTGTGATATGAATCCAATGCGTACACATTGCCATTATATTTGCCTTGTTGATAAATATCTTAGACAGCTCAATCAGCCCTTAGAAGCTTAGGCGGTTGTAACAAACTACCATAGACTGGGTGGCTTAAACAACAGGAATTTATTTCTCACAGTTCTGGAGGCTGGAAATCCGAGATCAGGGTGCCAACACTGTCAGGTCCTAATGAGGGCTTTCTTCCAGGTTGCAGTCAACCAACTTCTCTTTTTGTCCTCACATGGTGGAAAGGGAGGGAGAGGGGTCTCTGGCGTCCTTTTATTATAAGGGTGCTAATCCTATTCATGAGGGCTCCACCCTCATGACCTAATTATCTTCCAATTGTCCCACCTCCTAAGACCATCACAGTGGGGGTGAGGATTTTAGCATATGAATTTGGGGGACACAAGCACTCAGTCCATAACTGTGGGAATCTGTAGAAGGTAGACTTGGAACCATGCTAATGCCCTTTGGCACTTTTGTCAACATAATACAAAGACATCTCAAGGCCTGGAGAAGCCCATGTGGTTAAACAAAATCAAGAAAAATCTGACGATGAACATATATCACCGAGTACAGGAGTTTGTGCGGGACATGCGTCTCATCTTCCAGAACTACAGGGTGTTTTGCAAGGTAAACAGTTCTCCCTGCTTCTATTTTTCTTTCAGTTAAGTCATTTTGCCTTTCATCTTCTTGTGTCAGGTCAATGTTACAATTTCCCTCATCATGAGGCAAGCCCACACAGGTAAAAATTCTGGCAGTATTCTCCAAGCCCTGTGGACTATGGTGTGGAAGATAATAACAGACCAGAGGTATCATTGGAAACATTACCCTAGGACCTCAGAATTTACTCCTTCTAGATACTCAATTTGCCCATAGATAACAGTGCATTGCAGACCTAGTCCCTTCCACCGGAAATGGAAGTGCTTTTTATTTTTTTACTAGACCTGGCAGCACTGTGTGTGGCTCAGAAGTTCCTGCAATTGGCCCAGGCTCAGGTCCTTACTTGGCCCAGACTTGGGGACCATCCTAGGGAGACTGGATGCTGAGGCACAGAGTATGTCCATGTGCAGTTGGTTGCCGTGTAACTGCCCGCCGGCATCCGGGCCCTCAGGAAGGAGTGGACAGGGATCTCCCCACACCTGGGCATCTGCCTATTTCCAGCAGTTCCAGTACTGCACTCTGGATGCAGAGCATGGAAAGTTTCTTATAGGCAGAACCCTCATGGCCTTGGTGCTCGTAGAGAAGTGAGGCCAATTCTCTCATCTGCTAGAAGCACATTTTAAAGGCTACTCGTGTTTCTCATCTCTAAAGGAAGATACCAAATCACATTTCTCAAATTTCAAAATCTTGGATTTCTTTGCATTAGAATTTCCTAGTGTTGGATCAAAAAGTTAACAAGGATCACCTCAAGGGGTGGGGAATGAAGGATAAAGGAAGGCACCACGAACTTGCCTTAGACATTTCTGTACTATTATGGTGTCACAAGGAATATGGGCTGTGTTCAAAATCAAATAACTAGAATTTTTTAAAATTAATCAATAAATTTCTGAGGAAGAATTAGACTGCAGTATAGCGCCATTTTTGCTCCTCTGTCCTCCAGATAAAGAGAAATGATCCAGCTATCAGGAAACACAAACTACCCTCAACTGGTTAATTCTCACTTAACATTTGGGATAGTCTAAAATAAAACTCTGATTAACCAAAACATTGAGAGTCTAAGCTCATTAGCAATCTATGGCTATTATTGTTTTTGCCTTTGCTTTTTCAGAACAAGAAACTCATCAATCTGGGACTTCAGCTAGAAGCCGAATTTGAGAGTGATTTCAAAAACGTTTTTGGCATCCAGGAAATAAGTACAAACAGCATTCGGTTTGAGCCGATCTTTTATAATGTAGCCCGTTTCTAGTTCCCCCTTCAGAGTCTCCACTGCTACATGATATTGTGCCTGTGGCCCCACTGACCAACTGCCTGTTGCTGTGTGAATAACACACTTCTTTTTCAAACTTTTTTTTACTGACATTCCTGCTCATTTACTTTTCTAAATAAAAATCTTAAACTTCAGATTATTTTCTTGAGTAATTTGGGGTGAAATTCACAAAAGAAAATATCAGGTCTTTCTATAAAGGATCATATTATGTGCTTCCGTTTCTTTGAATCTTTTATTAGGTTCTTAAGTAAAGTTTTCTCTTCTTTTCTCCTCCCCACACAGGACTTAGTCATTTCTTATTTTACTCTCAGGTATTTAATACTTTTTTGTTATTTTGAAAGTGACCTTTTGCCCAATGTATTTTATTACTGATTATTGTCTATTATAGAAAGATATAGTGACATACATTCTGGTCACTGATTACCTTACTGAATAGTGGATCCTTTTTGGCCTCACACCCAGTGGCATCAGGAAGCCCATAGTAGATGCACAGCATTTCTAACTTTCAGTTCGTACAATCATAATTGGTACAGCTGATGGGAGCATTCCTCACCTCTGACAATTCTTGGTTCTGTTGGGGAATGACTCTGCCATGGCATCCTCGTGATCTTGCACGTTTCCACATAGGCCACATAGGCAAGACTTGTCTGTAGCTGATCTAAGTCTTGAGAATGCCCTATGATCCTTCCAGAACATGAGAGCCTGGGAAGCTTCTGAGCAGCTGCTACAAGGCCATTTCCTACTCACCACCTTATCTCCCAGAGGTTATCATGACACACTCTCCTCGTGTTCCAAGTTCTGATGAGGTATGAGGCTGTCTGCCTCCTTTATAGGGCACGAAAAGTTATGTGCCCTAGACAAAGGATTAATCTCCAAAATATATAAACAGCTCATGCAGCTCAATATTAAAGAAACAAACAACCCAATCCAAAATGGGCAGAAGACCTAAATAGACATTTCTCCACAGAAGACATACAGATGGCCAAGAAGCACATGAAAAGCTGCTCAACATCACTAATTATTAGAGAAATGCAAATCAAAACTACAATGAGGTATCACCTCACACCAGTTAGAATGGGCATCATCAGAAAATCTATAAACAGCAAATGCTGGAGAGGGTGTGGAGAAAAGGGAACCCTCTTGCACTGTTGCTGGGAATGTAAATTGATACAGCCGCTATGGAGAACAGTATGGAGATTCCTTAAAAAACTAAAAATAGAATTACCATATGATCCAGCAATCCCACTACTGGGCATATACCCAGAGAAAACCATAATTCAAAAAGACACATGCACCCCAATGTTCATTGCAGCACTATTTACAATAGCCAGGTCATGGAAGCAACCTAAATGCCCATCGACAGACGAATGGATAAAGAAGAAGTGGTACATATATACAATGGAATATTAGCCATAAAAAGGAACAGAACTGGGTCGTTTGTTGAGACGTGGATGGATCTAGAGACTGTCATACAGAGTGAAGTAAGTCAGAAAGAGAAAAACAAATATAGTATATTAACACATGTATGTGGAACCTAGAAAAATGGTACAGATGAACTGGTTTTCAGGGCAGAAGTTGAGACACAGATGTAGAGAACAAACGTATGGACACCAAGGGGGGAAAGCGGCGCGGGGGTAGGGGTGGTGGTGTGATGAATTGGGCGATTGGGATTGACATGTATACACTGATGTGTATAAAACTGATGACTAATAAGAACCTGCTGTATAAAAAAATTAATAAAATAAAATTAAAAAATTAAAAAAAAAAAGAAAAGCACTGTCAAATACTCAAAGTTTGGCAAAATGAAAATAGGAAAGAAACATGCTACTGTAAATAACAGCAAGTTCTTACTAGTCCCAGAAGAAATGCTTTCCATATAACGTTTCTGCAGAGGTTATATGGGGACTTGCCAGTATTCAGTGCTACTTACTTTTCATGAACATGCCATATCAGGGTGGCCTGCCCTTGGAAATGTAGCAGAAGTCGAATATAAATGCCCAGGGGCTGTTCCTGGTGCAAGAGCTTGTTTAGTTAATGCAACAATTTTTCCCATAAATATATTTATAATCCTGGTCTGTCAACATCAGTATAGTCTCAATGATATGTCAGTTTTTAGGGAAAATCAAAACATAACTAAACATTTAAAAAATAAATAAATAAATAAATAAAATTAGAAGAATAAAAGAAAGTGAAAAGACAACCTACAGAATGGGGAAAAATATTTAGAAACCATATATCTGATAAGGGATTAATATTCAGAATACGTAAAGACTTCCTGAAGGTCTGCAAACAACTCAATTCAAAAATGGGCCAAGTATCAACAGACGATTGGTTTAAGAAGACGTGGTGCATATAGACAGTGGAATATTACTCAGCCATAGAAAAGAATGCAGCAACATGGATGGACCTAGAGACTGTCATACTAAGTGAAGGAAGTCAGATAGAGAAAGACAAATATTATATAACTTATATGTGGAATCCAAAAAGTAATACAGATGAATCTATATACAAAACAAAAACAGACTCACAGACATAGGAAACAAACTTATGGTTACCAAAGGGGAATGGGAAGACCGGGGTGGGATAAATTAGGAGTTTGGGATTAACAGATACAAACTACCGTACATAAAACAGATAAGCAACAAGGATTTACTGTATAACATGGGGAACTACATTCAATACCTTATAATAACCTATAATGGAAAATAATCTGAAAATATATATATATATAACTGAATCACTTTGCTGTACACCTGAAGCTAACACAATATTGTAAATCAGCTATACTTCCATTTTTAAAAAATGGGCAAAAGAATTGAGTAGACATTCTCCAAACAAAGAAGATACACAAAAGGCCAATAAGCAAATGAAAAGATGTTCAGCATCACATCATTATGGAAATGTAAATCAAAACCACAGTGAGATATCACTTCATATTTACTAGAATGGCTATAATAAAAATAATAATTTAGGGCTTCCCTGGTGGCGCAGTGGTTGAGAGTCCGCCTGCCGATGCAGGGGACACGGGTTCGTGCCCCGGTGCGGGAAGATCCCACATGCCGCGGAGCGGCTGGGCCCGTGAGCCATGGCCACTGAGCCTGCGCATCTGGAGCCTGTGCTCCGCAATGGGAGAGGCCACAACAGTGAGAGGCCCACGTACTGCAAAATAATAATAATAATAATAATAATTTAAACACACACACAGGTAATAACAAGTATTAGTTAGGATGTGGAGAAATTGGAACCATCATGCTTTGCTGGTACGGCCGCTGGGGAAAACAACTGGGCAGCTCCTCAAAAAGTTAAACATGCAACTACCATACAACCTAGCAATTCCACTCCTAGGTATATATCCATAAGAAAGCAGGAAATCAAACAGATATTTGTACACCGATGTTTATAGCAGCATTATTCACAATAGCCAAAAAGTGGAAACAACCCGTGTCCACCAACAGATGAGTGGATAAATAAATGTGGTGTATACATACAATGGAACATTATTCAGCCATAAAAAGAAGAATAACAATTTTAGTATATGCCACTACATGGGTGGACCTTGAAAACATTACGCTAATAAGCCAGACACAGGACAAATGCATGATTCTAATTATAGGAGAAACTGAGAATAGGCAAATTCATAGAAACAGAAAGTAGAATACAGGGTACAGGCCTGCGGAAGGGTGTGTGTGTGCAGGGAATGAGGAAGTTATGTTTTAATGCATACAAAGTTTATGTTGGGGACGACAAAAAAGTTTTGGAAATATATAGTGGTGATGGTTACACAACACTGTGAATGTATTTAATATCACTAAATTATCCACTTACAAATGATTAAAATGCTAAATATCGTTATATACACTTTACCACAATTTTAAAACTACTAACTGCAGAGGGCTCATATTATTTGAATCTGGAGCTTTGTGTTAATTATTCCAACTAAGTTGTCACCTGGTGCTCTCTGAAGAGCCAGGACACTGGAGCTGAGCATATTTGGGGACAGAAAAGTAAGTGGGGTGGAGGGGAGGCAAATTCTCAGCCTAGTGGAGAATGAGATCTTACAGGTCACTCAGGTCCTGACAAATACCAGAAACTTCTCAGAGCCACATCTGAGCTTCTTATTCTGTTGGTTTCGACTATCTACAAACAAGCAGTGGCAGAAAGCACTGGGTGTCAGCTTTTAAGCAAGTCTTCCAGGGGGTCTACTCCTCTTCTCCCTAAATTCCACCACACCCTGCGGTGAACTAGGTGACCAGATAAACTTAATAATGTAACAGAAAACAAAAGTGAAGAAATTCAGGATGAGGAAGAATTCCTATCCCTTGCACCTCGTTCTTCCATAAAGGAAAGAACCCTGTTCTGATCCAGTCCCTTCCTGCGTCACGGACGAGCCACGGAAGCAGAGCTTGGGTAATAAAAAGTCAGGCAGGAGCGGTTTTCTTCCAGCAAACACCGGATATGGAAAACGGGGCGGGGACTCCCCCGCCAGCCCTGGATTCGCTCTCCTTCTTGCACAAGCTCCCTTACTGGAAGTCAGCTGCTGGCGCAAGTTCAGCCCGGCTGGGAGCCACCCACTCACTTTCCCGAAGCACCCTCCCCCAACCGTCTTCTCCCTAACCCCCGACCCAAGACCTCCCCAATCAGTGACCTGATGTCCTGGGGTCCTCCAGGAATCGGCTGCAGGCTTCGGCCGGTGTCAGTTTTCATCCGGAGCACACAGAGCAGAATGAAAGGAAAGACTCTGCTACCGGGTGTTTTTTTTGTTTTGTTTGTTTGTTTTTAATTCTAATTTTACCAGACGAAACTTAACTTTAAATCTGCGTTTTACCGTCCTTTCTCTCGGTACCCCTTTCCTCTCTCCAGACCCTCCAGAACGTCTACACTGCCCTCTGGTGGCTGAGTATTGCTATTGCACAGTCCCCTTTAAAAATGTCTTGAACCTTTTCCTCTCCTAATTCATCCTGTTGTCTCTCCTGAAAAAGTAGAATTCATTTCTTAACCCTCTAAGAAAAGAGCTCAAAATCAAGGTTAGAAGTGGTATTATTTCCTTCTAAATAAAAGGGAGTGAAATAATGGTTTTCTTGTTTGGCAGTTCATAGGCCCATAAGTGATTTATGACCTAGACAGGGAAGTCTTA